GGATGTTGAACATTGCTTTAGCTGTTTTCAGTCATTTGAGATTCCTCTACTGAGAATTCTGTTTAGTTCTGTATCCTCGATATCTAGTTTCTTGCATTCTTTATGTATTTTTGACATTAGTCCTCTATTGGATGTGGAGTTGGTGAAATTTTTTTTCCCATTCTGTAGGCTGCCATATTATCCTGTTGATGGTGGAATTTTGCCCTAGAGAATCTTTCAGTTTCATGAGGTCCCATTTATTAATTATTGATCTTAGTGCTTGTATGATTGGTGTTCTATTCAGGAAGTTGTCTCTGTGTCAATGCATTCAAGGCTACTCCCCACTTTCTCTTCTATCAGGTATAGTGTATCTAGTTTTATGTTGAGGTTGTGCATCCACTTGGACGAGTTTTGTGAAGGGTGATAGATATGGATCTATTTGCATTCTTCTATAAGCTGACATCCAGTTAGACACAGTGTCATTTGTTGAATTGTTTTTCTTTTTAAAGGTGTACACAAAATTTAACTTTTGGAACTGCAAATTTGAGGAGAGCCTAGGCAACACACAAGTTACAGGCCAGCCAGAGCTACAGTGTGAAACCTTGTCTCAAACAACAGATCTGTGCGTGTGTGTGCATATATACACACATATATATGCTTGTGTGTATATGCATATATACATATGTGTATATATGTGTATGTATATATAGTGGGATTTCCACATTTATAGATTAAACTGTACAAGCCTCATAAATAATAAGTTATGTGAAATCCCAACTATCACTTTCAAGAAGCCATGTTATGGGCTAGGGATTGCAGTTTAGTATGCAGTCTAGCATACATGGGGCCTTGGAGTAGATCAATATCCCATAAATATGAGATAGTACATGCATGTAATTCCAGAATGCAGGGGGTAGAGACAAGAGAACCAGAAATTCAACGTCATCTTCAGTTACATAGCCATCTGGAGGCCAGCCTGGGCGACAAGGGACCCTATCTCAAAAAGAGAAAAGAGAGGAAGGAAGGAAAAAAAGAAGGGGGGGAAGTAAGGAAGGGGGAGAAAGGGAGGGAGGGAGAAAGAAGAGAGGAAGGATGGGAAGGGAGGGGAAAGAAGGAAGGGGGAGAAAGGGAGGAGAGAGATGGAGGAGTAGGGCGAGGCCATGCTAAAGGATCATGCTACATTATCTTTCTGCTTTGTCTATTAATAAAAACAATTCTACAAAATCACAGACACACTGAAAGATCAAGAGTTCAAATTAAAGATATGGAAGGAAGAGATATCAGGGAGTTAATTTTTTAAATATCCTTTTTTGAAGTCAGTGGTGGTGTGTGCTTTTAATACCAGCACTTGGGAGGCAGAGGCAGGTGGATCTCTATGGGTTCAAAGTCAACCTCGTTCAGGACACCAGAAGTACACAGTGAAACCATGTCTCAAAAAATCCATATTTTAAACATTGGGAATCTGTAATCTTTGTTCTGTGATTTGCTACAACTTCTTATTGTAAATAAAACCCTTTCACACCTGCACTTTTGTTGGTTTTTGTTTTCTGAAATTTATAACTTCTATCACGTGAGCTCCTGGTCCCATGGTCTTGACTTACCTTCTAAACGCACACATTAGTGTGTCTAACTGGAAACTGGCCTGCTGGGAGTGCGTGTTGTAATTTGTTTTTAAATGCCACAAAGAGAAGTCATGCCATGCAACATGACTCACATAGATTTATTGGAAGAGGAGAAAGGGCAGTGAAAGGGATGGTGTGTGTGTGTGTGTGTGTATAGAGACTGGTCCCTGGGGACAAGAGTGTAGGAAGAGAAAGAGAGAACGGGAGAGGGAAAGAGAAAAGGAGAGAAAAGAGGGAAAGAGATGGGTGGTGGGCAAAGACCACCTTTTAAAAGGAAACATTGCAAATGTGCACAGCAGGTACTCTTAGTGGCTGCAGCTGAGGAAAGATCCTGTCAGACCCCAAGGGCAGGCCATTACACATGCCTGAATACTACTGGAAGGCTGTTTATCTGGGAGAGACAACTTGTTATTTTGTTCCCAGGCAGAAACTTCCAGTGTTTTCACATCACAGAATGCATGAGTCATGTGTCGGCCCATTATATTATTGCTGTCTTAGATATTACCTCTTGTTCAAAACTCCCTAGACACAATAATTGCAATATAGAGGGTTTTAAAAATTATAATTGCATTTATCTAGCTCGGGATATATGTGGAGGTCAGAGGACAACTTGAGAATCGGTTCTCTCTTTCCAATATATGGATCTCAGGGATTAAACTCAGGTCAACAGGCTTATAGACAAGCTCCTTTTATGGCACTGACACTAGATAGTTTTGGTTTTGTTTTCTAATCGGCTGTCACCATATTTTATATTCAACAATTTTTAACTAAGACATCATTTACTGAAAACTAAGAAACTAAACTAAAACTCCTGCCTGTTTCCCACCAGAGGCTGCATGAGGACAGAGGGAGGTAGGGGAACAAGTGCAGTTGAAATGGTCCAGGTTCCTTTATACAGCAGCCTCGAGACTTGATTCACTAGAATTTTACTGCCCCCTTGTGTCACAACAAGGTAGTGCAACTAACAAAGACTCAAAGGACCATTTTCCTGGTTCTTCATCTAGAAAATTCAAAACAGAAAAGTGAGGCAAACTATAAACCACTCTAATTTTTCCCATTCAGTTTGAAACACCCCTTCCCCCGGTTACTTCCAAGATTAATGTCTTTCTGGACACAATTCGGCGCTATCATCAAAGGAAAGTACCAGGATGCTCAGCAGCTACTTTAGAGAGATAAACAGATGGAGCAAATTCTGCAATGGAGACCAGGCTGTCTCTACAAACACAGGGGTGGATAAACTTCTTGTATGGGAAGTCTGGAGACCCTCTTGTGGTCAGAACTGGAGAGGCTGGGGCCAGTCAGTGTGCACCTCCCTCTCCTCAGTAGTCAGAGGACAGCCCTCAGCTCCATTGTGTCCTAACAGAGGACAGAGGAAATTCGAAGATCCTGATGTTCGAGGTACCCATCGCTCCGCTCTGTCAAAGTTCTTGAAGAGGGAAGGTGTGAACATACAAGACTGACTTGCTGCCCCCAGCAGATACATGAAGACTGGGTGACACCTCTCCTTTCCAGAGGGCATATGTGGGTTGAACAGTAATGGGCACTGAACTAAACTTGGAGAAACTGGGTCCTTTGTTTTCTTTTTTAAACTACTTAACTTGTCCTCAGGGCTGATGCCCACAAGTCAAGGGCTCCCTTGACTCCTCAACTCATCAACCTAGAGCAGGAAAGATTGTTGCTTCACGGGTGTCATTTCCAAGAAAGGGTTGAGGCAGTGTCTCCTGTGGTCCAGGCTGGCCTCAAACTGCCAAGCTCTAGGTGAAAACTTCCTCTTCTTTCCTTCTTAGCTTCTATTACAGCAGTAAAACGCCTAAGTTAAACCACACATGAGGAGGAAAGGTCTATCGGGGCTCATTTCAGAAACTTCACTCCTTTATACTCCAAGAGACAGGAAGAGGCTAGGGTCCTAGTGGCCAATTCCATGCCACACCTCTGTTGGCCTGATATCCTTTCACTAAACCTCCTAGAGGTTCTATGGCCCCAATAGTGCCACAGCCTGGGGATCCATGGGCAGCACTTCTCCAACCATTAGAGCCATAGTGGAAAATCAAAATAAAACTCCAGATGTTCTATGTAGTAAGAAAATAAAAACCATCGCATCTCACAGAGAACTGATCTCCAAAATAGACAAAGAACTCAAGAAACTAGACATCAAAACCTAAACAGAGAACTCTCAACAGAAGAATCTCAAATGGCGGTGAATGCAAGGGTCTATCCAGAGCACACCAAAAGCATCTCCTCAGGGTGCAATACAGCAGCAGCAGCACCAACCAGTCTCCTTGACACACCATCAATTTACTAATGGGCCCTGTTACAGATGTGGCCTTACACATACTTCCTTTAATATTACTATTGCTGATTTTCAAGAAAATGAAAGTGTGCTCATCAGTTATTAGTTTGGTTACAAATAGGGAAACTCCTAGCCAAATGTTTGTTCTACAGGAAATGTTTTGGCTTTCCACTTCACCTCACGCTTCACTGCATCTTCTCAACTACTGCTCCTCTATGAAGCATCATCCAAAGTCTGAGAAGTGTTGTGCTATAAAATAGTACTGAATAAACTGTCAGTGATAAAAATATAAAGTAGATTTTCTAAAATGTCTTTATTCTTAAATCTACAGTTTTGATTTAATAAAATCACCATAAGATAGCTACTTATACAGTAATAGAAATAAACACAAAATACAATTAATTAGAGCTTATCCAAAATAAATTCAGTTCTAAAGTTGAAACACATGTGTTTTTACCAATTAAACAAAAGATTCTGTTTCTGATGGACTTTTCTTAGACATCTGGGATACTTATCTTTTAAACTGGAATCAGAAAACTTCCAACAATGTCACAAACAACTGCATCTAGCAACTTTAAAATTAAGATACCCTGAAACTATTCAATGACTGGTTACTCACAAAACACTGAAAAGGGGAGACACTTCATTGCTGTAAAATACTTACCTTCTAAAAATTAATGTGTATACCAACAGACACACCTAACTTCTGAAAACGACTGAGCTTTTAAAATATATATAGAGAGACAAGCTAAGTCTTCCTGTCTGGTTTGCTTAGATCAAGCCTATTCTATTCAGGCTACTTTCCAAATACATTTTAATCCTAAAGAAGTAGGTATTAAAATATTAAAGCTTCTTTGACCCTTAAACAGAAGTTCCAGTCATGTGAGCCTCACAATGGGAGCCTTCTAGATGTAGATGCTTACTTCTTATACTGACTTGAGAGAGAGATGTCCTTGTTTCTCAAAGATATGGTAATTTTCTTTCCAAAAACAGGATTTTTTTTAATGTACTGAAATTTGCTTTCAAAAGCCTTAAAAATAAAAATTTGTTTATATTACTCTTAAAAAAATAGCTTCCAACAAAAAGAGAAAAACATATGACACCACAGGTTTTATTAATGGTAAATGTTTGCATTTATTTTAAAAAGCTTAGTTACTACTAAGCACTTTTTAAACAAAACTAAGCAAGAATAATTTTCCATACAGAAATTTTATCCATAAACAAGATTTAAATTTATTCCAACATTGAAAGCTAAGAAGAACTGGAAAAAATAAAAAGTAAAACACTTCTGAGTCAACCTGCTTTCTCCTTTTTGAATATACTGTATTTGGAATGGCAGACATATACTGAAGGAGACAGAAAAACGTGCATTTAGTCTACATATCAGCATTAAGAATGACATGCAATTCATGATTTTCTTTTCACTAATGTTTTTACTTGAACCACTAAACAAAGGGTTTCGCCTGGTCTGGTTTCCACTTGAGAGGAAGATGATCTGCTTCCCAGACTCACCCTCTTTTTGTACCAGACACCAAGTGTGTGTGTTCTTCCCTTTCCCCAACAGTTATTTAAGGTGACTTTGCATACTCATAGCAAACACTATTTTTTAAAACAGTGCCACGGCCTTGAATAATCAGTTTTTTAAAAAACAGAAGCAAAAACCAGATATCAAGTGCAAATGTAGAACACTTCCCTTAAAGAATTACGCAAACCCAGCACAGCACACAAGCAGAGCCATTGCCGCACACACTTGGCCATATGACAAGAACGTGCGTATCATGTGCACATGCAGAGCCGCTGTCACACGTGTTAAGCTCTATGATTAGGAACATCCATATCATGGCCCAGTGCACTAAAAGTTGCCTACTACAAGGTTTTAAGTGTTGCCAAGTTAGTAATTCTTTCAAGGCACTGACGAATTATGCAGATGGAGTTTCCAAAATATATTAATAATTGCTTAAACTGTTAAAAAGCCCTGAGTCAGAACTTTCAGTAGCTTCCTGAAACTGTATACTCAAGACAAAATGGCATATTTGCTTATTTCATAAAAAATTAGAAGACCACTTTGCTTTTGAGGAAAGAAGCCATGTTTATGAGATAAAAGCCAGAGAACTATATAGGACAATTCAAATAACTCAGCACTATTAACCTTCTTAGACAGTTTGCACACATCAATTCATACTTTTAGATTCAGGCACCAAATTAATGCGACAGGTCCCTTTTCCTGTACCTATTGCTTAAGTTCTCAAAAACAGAAAATCTAATTTTAAACTCAGGTTACTTCCATTTTACCCACAAACAAGATGAGATGCTGGGGTTGGGGGCAATATTCTGATAGAAAAGGAGGTAGAAAATGTCAAAATAGCAACTTAACTTTATTAACTATCCACTCATATTTTTATGCTGTGATTTGACCCCACTACTAGCTACTAAATCAGCCACTGAAGCAAAGGAGTTCTTCTTCATTGCAGTAAAGCAACATATGCATGAGACATTAAACAGCTTCCTCACATTTAATGTTTAAAGACATACAACTGTAATTATCAATACTGCAATTGTGTGTGTGTGTGTTAAAGTCAAAAGGTATTATACGATTGCCAAGTAATGTAAGTAAGCATTCCTATGTGACAGTCAAACAAGTTAAATTAAGCGACATTTTGAAAGAAAAATGTATTCCGAAACTGTGACAGGTAAGACTCAATGACGAGTGACACTTACAACAAGGCACAAATTACTTATGAAAATCTATTTTCTTCCCAATTTAGTACAAAACCAAAGCTAACTTATTTCTCATATCTAAATGTATTTTGCCCCCTCTGGCTCAAAATAAAATTATAAACACTTTCAATTAACGTACATGTAGAAGTAACAATTACAGCAGGGGAGAGACGCCCTTCCCTCAAATTTCAGAAACCTGATATCTACCTAAGTTTAGATCTTGCAAACACAAGCAATTCTACTCAGTCACTTGAATGCTAGCTTTCTATGTACTCAGAACCCTACTGCAAAAAGAAAAAAAGGAAGGGAGTATATGATGTGTGGCATTTCAACTGTGCAGGATAAAGGTCCACACCTGTTTCCCAGCCGAGCGAGTGGAAGTGACACCCACTGCACTGCACATTTAGAAGCGGGCAGGACAACAAACTATATATGTGGTTCTTACTGCAATTTAAAAAAATCCCAAACAAGTATCATGTGAGTCAGTTTTTAATACAAATTACTACTATAAACATTTCAGACACTTTAAAAGGATAAATGTTTTTAGACCTTAAAAAAGCAAGCTGTATTAAAATCTGTAATTTACAAAACAACTGTCAAGACGCATGAAATCTGACCTAATAGATGCCTTTTATGTTTCAGTTAAATATGCCCTCTCCACCAAGGCTGAAGTAAATCGCACATGATATTCCTTTTCTCTGTGGTTACTATTTGTTTCCTATTTGCAGTACCAAACCAGCTTTGCTCCACCCAGCTCTGTCTTAGTCACAAGTTTAACTATGCCTAGTTCAAAAGTGTCCAGAATACAAAATAAACAAAGAACATCCATCAGGAAACATATGACTAGCCAAGATGTTCCCATGTGTAAAAATGACCCAGCAAGGTTTGAGTTTTGAATTAGACAAATTTTAAGCAGCATGCATTTCAGCATTCTAAAATAAAATGCTATTGCAGACTAAAATCAGCAAAAATATAAATTTAGGAAGTTATTTCCAGTTAATTTTATGTTTCAGTAGACTTCCGGTTAATTTGCCATTATTAAATTACAAATACCTTAAGCATAATTCAGGCAACTAAACATTTGCCTAGTTTAATACTCTTATACTAATAAAAAACTATCTCTCTTGAAAACCTTGCTCCCAATAAAATTATGTATGTATACAGCACAGATAAGATGTTAAACTATGTGAATAAGTGCAACTCTGCTAGCACCATCTGGTAAGCTGTATGTATTCAGAGTGAAGAAGTCTGAGCTGAAGAAAGGTGAAAATGTGGTGGGGCAAGGGAGTACAGAAAAGGATTCCCAACACTGCTTCCCTTGAAACACCAGTAGGAACACTACTGTAGGAACTACAGTAGGAACGGTGCCTCAGGACCCTGGTTCTGTCCACAAACAACACAAACAACTGCAGTGTGAACTCTGAGTGTGCTAAGACACTGACGTTTTTTCCTATCAAGGCCCTAAAGCCCAATGCTTAAAAAAAAAAAAAAAAGAATGCATGTCATTGCAAAAGGGAAGTCAGAGTTGCTCTGAGGCACAGGGAGAGAGGGCTGAGTAACAAGAAGAAGAGACACCCAATGGGCCAAGTACTATGAAGAGACTAAGAGGTAGGTAGCAGTTTCAGAGATTGAGGAGAAGTCACTGGCATGATTTAGTCCTTGTTCTTGCAAATCCAAGCAAATTTACAATAATTTTAGGTGCCCGAAGACATGAATAGAAGAACATCTTCTATTCGTAAAATAAACAGCCAAGTGACGAAGAGAAATCCAAAGGTCCCAACACTAGAGACTTTTATGGCTTCTCTCATAGAAGTTAGTGTGTTGTGCTCTACCATGGAGGAGACAGCTAGGAGCTAGCAGGAAGGCCTACCCCCTTACAAACACAAGCTTTAGCACTGCAGCTCAAGGGACAGAAGAAAAGGACTTAAATGAGATGCAGCTGTGGCCCACAGGTTCTTGGATTGGCAGACTGTGTGCAGCAGCCATCCTTCATTATCCAATGGGAAGCCTATGGCAAGGAAGAAAAGATCCTCACTTCTGCTATTTCCAAGTCTGCATGAAGACAATCTGTCTCTGAATGTAAACATTGCATCATCAGATTATCTTTTCTTAACTTCAAATTATACTTAGAAAATGACCTCATTGGTTCTCAACTATGTAGCTAAATAGAGTCACAACAAAACATTCCTAATTTGAAACTAACAAAAGGTGTACTGTCCAAAATGATTAACAGTTGTTGGACATGGTGGGGTCCCCATCCTATAATCCCACAACTGGAAGGCAGAGGCAGGAAGATCATGAGATTGGGGCCAGCCTGAGCTACACAGTAAGTTCCAGGCCAACTTGGAATACATAGTGAGACACTATCTCAAAAACAAAAGAGAAAAATATAGCAGTTCCTCAGCTAAACACAGTATGGGACTGTTGGGTCTGCAACACAGCCAGCACACCATGAGGCCTGGCAAAGGCAGTGGCAGGTAAACCACCAGCAACAAAATGCAACCAGGCTGGACACTCTGCTTGCCCACATTTAGTTGCTACAGCAGATAAATAGAATTAAGCTAGCCAGACTCAAATGTGAGAAAAATCTATCCCCAAAGAACACTAAAAGAATATATACTTATGCACTAGTCTATAGTAGACACTACTGTAAACAGCTGGTTTTTTTTTTTATAATCTAGCAGTAAGGAATCTTGAAACACTCATATATTTAAGCTAGATACAAAAATTACTCATTAAAGGAGATAAAATGTTTAATTCCCCCTACCAAATCTACATGTATTCACATGCTTTTCCATAAATGCCCCTACACCCTTTTCTAAGTATCTGATATTAAGCTATTTATTGTATCTTAGTTATTGTTGGCAGTTTAAAGAATATTCATCTGCAGGTATAAAGAAAAACTATGTTCTTTATAGCAAAAATTACTGAGAGAGTAGAAGAGTAGAAGTAAGGCTTTTGATGAAGATAGAATCCTAACACTGTCAGAATAACAGGCACAGAAGAAAAGATTGTTGTCTCTAACAATTCATCGGCCTGCTGAGCAGATCTCAGAGGCACAAACAGTGTGTGTGCCCTGATTAGATCAAGCCCGGGTCAGTTGTCAGGGAAAATGAAAATTACTTTCTCATAGGCTTTTTTTCTGCAAATGGCTGGTCTAAATAGTGACAAGCTAATACAAGGAGTGCAGTGGTCACGATCAGGCAGGATGTGTGCTTGCATCATTCTGTACCAGCCTTCGATTCTTGCTAGAACTTTGTTTTTCCTTTTCATGTCTACTGCTGATTTTGAAACTGGTTATTTATTTAATCTAGTTAATTTTCCTTTTTATTCTAGAAAATAAGGTAAAGTCATCATTCTCTTAGCACATACTTCCGGTTACTTACTTCTAAAGCTATCCCTTGGGTAATTTCTAACTATTTTGAAATCCTCAGTCACGTGGCATCTCTGTTATACTTTTATTATTTAACACATATGACATAGTTTTACTTGCCCACTCACCTTACTTTTTGGAATAGCTGTGTCATTTCACCATGTGAAATCATGACAAACAAAATCCTGAAGGAATATTGATCTTGTCTCTTTTAAGGTTTAGTATATGTATAAATTTAAAAAGAAAAACACAATAAAAACAAATGTGAAAGGAGATCCTTAAAAGATTTTCCCTTTGAAGCCAAAAACAAATTTTTTTATGAATTACCATGTATTTGATGTTCCAAATTTAAGAGGAAAACACAGATAGACAGGTACACACACATACACACACACTAATCGGCAATTTCAAACACTGTATGATGTTTTTGTTGTGATGGTGGTACATATACAGTCTAATTACATTCTAATACAAAATTATGCAATTTCAAATTAGCCCATTATATTAAACTTCCCACTAGCTTTAGAACCTACTAAGATCTCATGATCACATACTTCAACTAACAACACACTGTGTCTCTTAGTCAATATAAAAGAATCCTCCGTTCAATTGCCTTGCGACAAATTGGGCATTCACTCATTCGGTCTCCACAGAGCTGGCATGTTCCATGGCCACAGAGGAAAATCATGTTCTTCAGACGATCCAGACACACAGGGCACATTGTCTGAAATGTAATGAGACAATGGGTAAACGTGGGCCATTTTATACTTTTAAGTGCAATATGACACCTCTTTTATATCATTCATTTTCTCTTCTGGTTTTAGTCAAATACAGAATAAATTTTTCAGTGTGTGTGTTTGTGTGTGAGTGAGTGTGCATATGCGTGTTTGAGAGGGGATTTGAGACGAGGTCTTGGTTGGTGAACTCACTATGTAGCCACGCTGGTTTCAAACTCATAAGAGAACTATCTGCCTCTGCCTCCCAAGTACTAGAATTAAAGGTGTGCGCCACCACACCAAACTCAAAAATAGTTTATTTAAAAATCAGATGTTCAAAAATAGTTATAGCCAGGCGGTTTGATATAGGTGCCTATAATACCAGTACTAGGGAGGCAGAGGCAGGCGGATCTCTGTGAATTTTAGGCCAATCTGGTCAACAAAGTGAGTTCCAGGCCATGCTCCAAAGCTACAGAGAAACCCTGTTTCAAAACAAACAAACAAAAAGTTATTTTAATGTTATCCATACAAAATAGATACTAGCTATTCTTTCAAAACAGTATAAAGGTAGTATATAAAACAAATAGTACAGGCTAGAGGGGCACCTCAGAGGTTAAGAATGCTTACTGCTCTGGCAAAGGGCCTGAGTTTGGTTCCCAGCACTCTCATGTTGGCTCACAGTTCCAGGGGATCTGAACCCTCTGGCTCCTGTATGTATAAGATACACATAAACTCTGCCACACAAACACACCCAACAAAAATGATAACAAATCAGAGAACAGGCCATGGAGGAAAGTCACCCACTGCCCTTGAAGCAGACTTGTCACCTCCAGGGAGTGGCACTGGAGTGGGGTGCAGTGCAGGTGTGCAGCTGAGAGCCCTTGTCAGGCCCTCTGCTAGACATAAAACACCCCAGCCCTGCTAGTACTCACTCATGTGAAGACATGTCAGCTTGAAATTTCCAGCTCCAGAGTTCTTGCTCTCCAATACTCTGTCAACACTACTTTGCTCAAGACTTAGGCTTATTCTTTTAGCCACTCTAGTAGTAAGTCATTATTATCAATAAAACGGACTTTACACTGATAAAAGCCCAATTTTACTCCAATATAACACTTCATTATGAATTTCCTTTCTGCCAACACAGAAATAAAATAACTAGGAATGGCTGGATTACTAAATGAGACTTACAGTCTATGAGAATGTAGCTTTGATGATACCACAGACCACTAGGGGTAAAAGTCGTGCTGTAAATTGCTAAACATAATCCTTTCCAAACAAATTGCTACAATCATCTATCTTGCAGTTTCAAAAAAGCAAAATGGGGAGTGGGCTGGGATGGGGGAATCACATCTTTGGATTTTTAGAAAGTAAGTCCACCCATTTAGTGGCATTAAAATAGCTTCATTCCATTCTATTTTCAAGAACTGAGTGTACCACAGATACTTGTAAGACTCACGCTCATTGCTGTACCATTCACAACAGGTGGAACCAGCCTAGAAGTACACCAACAGGTAGAAAACAGTACATATACAAAATGGAATTCAGTCATAAAGAAGAATGAAATCATGATGTTGGTAGAAAAATGTAAGGAGCTGGAAATCATGTTACATGAAACAAGTCAGCCTCAGAAGCCAACTATCACCATATTTCTCATATGCAGAATCTAGATTTAAATTTCTACAAATGCATATGTATATCCCCATTTATTGGAAGCAGAAAGAAATATGAGAAGGGAGTGATATATATGAAGGCAGAAACAAGGGGTAAGAGGGCAATGAACAATGAAACACAAAAGCTTAGCCTAATGGGGAGTGGTGGTAGGGATACCCAACAAAAGGAAGGTTGACTAGTGAGGCTGTGTGTGACAAATAAGAACAAAGGACAACATATATTTATATAAATGTCACAATGAAACCCATTACTCTGTATGCTAACTTAAAACTAATTAAAGACAAACAAGGACCAAGTAGTTGGTTCAACAAGTAAGGAAGCACTTGCCAGGCAAGTGAGGACCAGAGTTCAGATCCCCAGAACCCATGTCAAATCTAGGTAAGGACATGGGCTCACATGTAATCCCAGCATACAGGAGGCAGAATCAGGGACTCCTTGGAGCAAGCTGGCTAGCCACCCTGGCCAAACCAGTGAGGTAGGTCCACATTCAGGAAAGCACCTGCCTCAACAAGGAAGGCAGAGATATCAGGGAAAACATTTATCAACCAGGGCCCTCCATATAAATGTATATATACATGCTCATGAACTCGAACATGTATGTGTACCCACATACATATAAACATGCACAGATATTATACAAACATATATAAAAGGAAAGGGGGGAAAAGACAAATGAGAGGAAAAAAAACTTTAAATTCTTATTTATCTTTACTTAGTCACTACATAACAATTACTGCTAAATGCTGATTCTATAGGATAAAAAACAGCTCAATGAAAAGGCTTTTCTCTCTTCAGACATGTACACAAAGGCCTAGTAAATACACGCATTCCGTGTTAAACTAGTTATCATGTGATGATGGGCACCCTTTATTGCAGTGATTCTCAACCTGTGGTGGCAACACCTTTGGAGGTGGAACAACCTTTTCACAGGGGTTACACATCAGTTATCTTGCATAACGAATATTTACATTACAATTCATAACAGTAGTAAAATTATAGTGATGAAGTAGCTACAAAGTAATTTTTATGGTTGGGGGGGGTCACCATAGCATGAGGAATTGTATTAAAGAGTTGCAGCTTTAGGAAGATTGAGAATCAATACTCTGTTGATTAAATCTGGTAAATTCAGAAAGTAAACTTGCTATCAAAGACTGCTACTGGCTGGCAATAGGGGTGTGATTGCCAACCTCAGACCACACTCTGCTGTTCGAGTCTTTGAAGCAACTAAACCCCTGTGTCAAACAGCAAAGGACATGCTTTATTATTCTTTCTGCTGTGTTGTCTGTGAGACAAGGTTTCTCTGGTCTTCAACTCGACCTCCTGAGTTTAAGGGTTAGGAGTGTACCACTACACCTGGCTCAAGACTTGTAGTGTCACCTAGTATACACCTGTTCTTATCTTCTTGCTTTGATAAATATCAAGTAGATAAAAGAGTACTTCATTGATATTGCATAAAATGGAGATAACAATGTAACAATACCCAGTATGATATATGGAATGCTACTCTTCACTTCTCAAGTCCCTTCCAACACCCTCCCCTCTATCCAGCTCTCAATGATGAACACCAATCTGAATTTTGCACTTATCCTTCCCTTGTTTTTCTATATAAACACACATACATATACACATTTTAATTTTCTACTGAAATATATACATATAGAAATGCACACATGCCACAGAAATTCACAACCTGTAACCCTACAACAGACTCCAGAAACTTCCCCTTTGCTTCTTCCCAGAAGAGAAAATCACACTACCCAGGTTTTAACACTTTGATTTCCACCAGACCTGGGTCCTAAACAACAGCCTGCTGGGTTCATTAGACGACTGTGCTCTCCTCTGTTGGGTTAGGAGCACCGCTGCCCAGCAGCAGCATAGGAATCTGCTGGTTCATCTGCCTTCTACGTGACACACGACAATTTATCCACACTCCTCAAACTAGCTTGAAAGGCAGTTCATTGTGATTTTCAGGCTTTTTCCAGCATGTTTATTGGCATCTGTTTGTGCTTCCTGTTCTGGAAAATGTCTGACTAAACCTCATAGTCTTGTGATATGGATCTGCTATCACAAACCACAACTATTACAGAAAAGGCCAGTAGCCTAGGAGACATGTGTTAAGTGGCATGGTAAGAAGCAGTGGGTGGCAGGACACAATCATTACCTGCTCCTTGATGTCCTGCAGCTGCTGCTGCAGCTTCTGTACATCTGCATTGACATTGGTGTTGTCTTTGTCCTTCTGCAGCACTGGAATAGTTCCACTTGCTAGAATTTAAGAAAAATCTTCTTAGTTATTACTGTTTGACAAAACGAAATATTTCTATAATTTTAGTTTCTAAAAAAAAAAAAACAAAACAAAACTTGTTTTTATTAATCCCAGCACTTGGGAGGCAGAGGCAGGCAGATCTCTGAGTTCAAGGCCAGCCTGATCTACAGAGTGAGTTTCAGAGCTACACAGAGAAACCCTGTCTTGAAAACCAAAACACAAACAAACAAACACACACACACAAACCCCCTCCAAAAACACCAACTGAACAAAACCCTTCAAACCCATGGAGCTAAAGACGGTTGGTGGTAGACGGTTGGTGCATATGGTACACACCATATGCAAAGCCCTGAGTTCTGTAATTTCTACAACAGAAGAAAGGGGCAGAGGGAGCTAACATTATTCTTAGGGCCTTCTTAAAAATATTTTTCCATATGGAGAGACAAAGACACAGTAGTGAAATTCAGATAACACTCATTTATAATCTTCAAGAGGAAATAGGCTTGGGTGGGTGTGGTAGTTTGAATGTAATTAGCCCTCATAATATCATAGGGAGTGGCACTATTTGGAGATGTGGCCTTGTTGGAGGAAGTGGGTCACTGTGAGGGCAGGCTTTAAGGTTTCCTATGCCCAACCTAATGCCCAGTGTCTCAGTTAACTTCCTGTTGCCTTCTGATCAAGAACGTAACCAGCATCATGTCTACCTGAATGCTGCCATGACCCACCATAATGACAATGGACTAAACCTCTGAACTATAAGCAAGCTTCCACAGTGAAATGTTTGCCTTTATATGAGTTGCCATAGTCATGGTGTCTCCTCACAGCAATAGAAACACTAGCTGAAATAGGGGCTAGAGAGAGTTCTCAGTGGCCAAGATACCACAATGACCTTGCAGAAGACTACAGTTTAGTAGTCCCTTATCAGATGACTCACAACCACCTGTAAATCCAGCTCCAGGGAAATCAATGCCTTGGGCCTTTGTGCTTGGGTACCCGTACACACACATACTTATACATGATGTGGGAGTCCCCTCTGTGTACTGTGATTACCATTAATGAATAAAGAAACTGTTTTGGACTATAGCAGGGCAGAACTTAGCTAGACAAGGAAAACTAAGCTGAATGCTGGGAAAAAGGAAGGTGGAGTCAGAGAGACACCATGGGGCCACCAAGAGTCAGAAATGTTGAAACATTGCCATGTGGCGATACACAGATTAATAGAAATGGGTTAAATTAAGATGTAAGAGTTAGCCAGTAAGAAACTAGAGCTAAGGGGCCAAGCAGTGTTTTAATTAATATAGTTTCTGTGTAGTTATTTCGGGTCTAAGCTGGTCATCCAGGAACTAAACAAGAGGCCTCCTTACTACAAACTGGCGTGTCAACATGCTGGACTAAATCCATGTAAAACCTGAGAGGGCTTGGAAAGGAACTCTAGACACAAAAATACAAAGTTTAGCCACATTTTTTTCAGCTGGCAGCTTGCTGCAGCTCTTTTAAGAGAGGTCTTACTGATTCAGTGGTAGCAGCCTTGCAGTGTCAAAATGGTAGCTTCCTGGCTGTGAGCCATGCTGCTACCACAAACTGACTCTTTCAGAAAACTGAGCACTTGGATGGAGTTTGAGAGCAGTGTGCTATGGCTTGCTTAGTGGAACTTGGAATGGCTGTGTGCCTAGAAATGGGGCTGTGGTCATGGCTCTCAAGAGGCAGCAAACAGCTCCACCATGCTGGACTGTGTGGAACAAGAAGGAAGTACCATATATATCATAGAAATGGCACAACTTAAGTTTTAAACTGGGCATACAATACCGTATATACCATAGTAATGATGCAGCTTAAGTTATAAGAAGTGCTTAGCATTTTAAAAAGTGCTCCTGGAGAGAAAGGAGTTGCAATATGCAGATATGCAATAAAGGCAATCCAGATGAGTCATAGTATTGGATAAATGTACATAGGCTTGTGAGAGAGAAGAAAAATACAGAGTTATAAAAAAAAAGTAAATGGTTTTTTAAAAAATAAAACAAAGTCTTTAAAAAGTACAGACAGAGATTAAAAGAAATAAAGAAAATAAGCCACGTAAATATGAAAAATTCACAGAGAGTCTGGATTATGTATATTATTGTGATTTCTTTGAATCTTTTGACTGTGAATGAGCTAAGTACAGAGAGACATTTCATTGTATGGACTGCTAAGCTAAACTAGTATGTATATTATAAAGGTATCTTAACTTCCGAATTTAGTTCTAAGAGTAGGTTGCTTTGGGAAAGAGGTTCTTTTTTTGTTTCCACAGAGGATGAGAACCTGTGGGTTCATTCCAGGCTAATATGGTTTGATAGCCCATGGCTCCCTGAAAGGTTGCGGTGAATATACCCCAAAAATTACTTCACCCAACTACTGACTGAGATGAACCTAGCACACAAGACAAATGATGAAAGATCCGATTAACAGCACCCCCAATCAGCAGCAATATGTATGGAGAAATATATGCCCATTTTCCCAAATATTTGTTTACATTTAAAGGGATATATATATATGAATAATTATATTCATATATATATATGAATAATTTGCATTGGTATGGATCTTGGTTCACTGATACAATTTCAGGTCAATTTTGTTACATGTATATTTCTGCTCCTGATTAAGGTATTGTAATTGTGCAGTTCATTTAAAAATATAATGTATAATTAAGAAATATAGGTTAATAAGTAATCATCAAGCTTGTAGTCATGTTGGTTAGATTTTTCTAGATGGACAGATATGTATTTCAGTTAGATAGGTATTCTTCAAATCTTTCAGAGACCTTCAGAATATGGCATTTAAAATGTTTAAGAATTTAAGACTTCATGACAGTAAGAAACATCTATTCCTGGTAACTCCAATCTACTTCAAGAGAAAGATGAGCATTGAAGAGGCTCCTTATGGAGTTTGCTAGCCATTTGGGCAAGAAACTGCTCTTGCCTGGACTGCGTAACTAGACATGCAGGACCCACAGAGAAATGACTGCTGAACTTGTCAAAAGGTGAGAAAGTCTTCAGGGATCCTGCTTCATGAAAGAGTCTGCTAGATATTCTACAGGACACAGAAAAATGTGATGACAAACTGCCAGTATAGGTGGAACTGTCTTTGAAACTTACTGCTTCATGGAAAAGTCTGCAGGAAAACTATGGGCCTGTGGGATGAAGATGGATGCCCCAAAGGTAAAGAAGAACTTTGGGTGACTGTCCAGGCACAGAAATGTCTCTGTCAATTCTAGAGTTTTAGAGGTTGATTACACTGTACTTCCTGTTTACTTAGGTAATATCAAATCCTTCTGGAGTCTTTGACGGACTTGAAGAATTTATACTTATAGTTATCCTTAGTTATGATAAAAGATAAAGCAAATATAAATATTGTAGCTGTAATTCTTGTTTGATATCTGTTTGTTATATGTAATTTTACTATGTTAAAGTTAAAACCTTCATTTTTATTTAAACAGAAAAGGGGTGGTGATGTGGAAGTTCCTCTATGTGCTATGATTACCATTAATGAAAAAAGAAACTGCTTTGGACCTATAGCAGGGCAGAACTTAGCTAGGCAAGGAAAACTAAGCTGAATGCTGGGAAAAAGGAAGACAGAGTCAGTGAGATGCAATGGAGCCACCAGAGTCAGATACGCTGAAACATTGCCAGTAAGCCACTGCCACGTGGCGATACACAGATTAATAGAAATAGATTAAATTAAGATGTAAGAGTTAGCCAGAAAGAAGCTAGAGCTAAGAGGCCAAGCAGTGTTTTAATTAATACAGTTTCTGTGTAATTATTTCAGGTCTAAGCTAGCAGGTCATCCAGGAACTAAACAAGCAGCCCCCTTACTATGCATACATAATTTAAAAAAAATAGAGAAAGTCTGAGATAGTAGCACATGATTGCTATTGCAACGTTCAGGAGACTGAGGACAGGAATACTGCCATCATGTCAGTCTGGGCTACATAGCAAGACCTGGTCAAAAAAAAAAATAGGCGAGGTGGTGAGAAAGAGATTTGCAGTGACAAGAATTTCTGCATTTTGATTCCTCTGGCAAACTTACAAACATGCACACTCCTTTTCTCTGCTCATGGGCCACTGGAACCATAGCAAAGTAGCCACTACAGAAGTATTAACTTACCTCTTAGATGATTTTCTTTTTTTTTAAAGGATCTTTCCTTCCTTCCTTTTGCTCTTTCTTCTAGACAGGGCTCACTAGACAGGTTGCTCAAACTAGCCTTGAACTCACTACATAGCCAAGGCTGGCCATGAACTCTTAATCCTCCTACCTCTACCTCCCAAGTATTTAGATAACAGGCAGCATCCACCACACTGGATGATGATGATAATGATGACAATGACGATGAAAATGACAATGATTATTTGAATAAGGTCTTACTATGTAGTTCTGGCCTGGCCTGGAATTCACTATATAGAGTATACTTGCTTTAAATTCGGAGATCTGCCTGCCCCTGACTCCAAGGTGCCAGGATTAAAAACATGTGTCAGAGCAGATGCAGAGACCTACAGCCAAATATTAGGAGGAGGAGCTCAGGGGACTCCACTAAAGAGGTGAAGGAAGAATTGTAGGAGCCAGAAAACAGAGGATACCACAAGAACATGACCCACAGAATCAATTAAGCAGGGCTCAAAGGTTAAAAAATCATGGGGCCTGAATGGGTCTGAACTAGGTTCTTAGCATACATGGTATGAATGCTTAGCTTGGTTTTTGTTGAACTCCTAACAGTGGGAGTGGGGGTGATGTGAATCTTTTGCCTGCTTTTGGGACCCTTTTCCTCCTGCTGGGTTGTCTGTCCAGCCTTGATATGAGGGTGTGTGCCTAGTCTTGCTATAACTTGCTATGCCACGCTCAGTTGCTATCCCAGGGAGAGCTGTTCTTTTCTGAAAGGAAACAGAAGAGATTTGGGAGAGAAGGAGAGGGGATTTGCAGGAGTGGAAGGAGGGAAAACTGCAGTTGAAATGCAATGTATGAGAGACTAAGTAAATAAAAATAAATAAACTAATAATTTTAAAAAGCATGTGCCACCACACACCCAGCTTAATTTCTGTTTATTTGTTTGTTTATTTTGAGGCAGTCTTACTCTGCTGCTCAGGCTGACCTCAAATTCATGGCAATCCGCAGGTACTTGAGTAATGGAATTACAGGCATGATCCACCCAAGCTTGACCAACCCTCCATTCCTTATGCTAAGATTCTATAGTTAACAATAAAATTCAGAAGGCTATGATTTTACATGCCCTTCTCTGTACATTCATGGCCTTTTATTCCAGGTAATACCTGTATCTGGGAATTTTATTCTGCATTTGTGAAAAAGGTAAGAGCTTTGGTCAGAGGTATGTGCAGCAATGTTCATCCTCATCTGTTTACAAAACATGTTTATAAACCAAGAATCAAAGAAACCATTCTCCGAACCCTTTACATAAACTGCAAGGACTGTGAGTGAAATCAGGTTCTCAAGCTTACATGGCAAGCTCCTTACCTGCTGACCCAGTTCACTAACCATGATGATTGTAATAGAAATGATCTGCATAGGCTCCTATGTTTGAATGCTTGGTCATCAGGGAGTGACACTACTTGAGAGGGATTAGGAAGTGTGGTCTTGCTGGAGGAAGTATGTCACAGTGTGAGTGGGCTCTGATGTTTCAAAAGCCCAAACCAATCCCAATGTCTCTCTCTCTCCCTGATGCCTGTGAATCTGGATATAGAATTCTGAATCACTTCTCCAGTACCATGTCTGCCTGCATGCCACCATGCACCCCACCATGATGATAATAAACTGTCCTCTGAAACTGTAAGTCAACCCTAATTAAATGCTTTCCTTTTAAGAGTTGTAATGGTTGCTGGGTGCGGTGGCACATGTCTTTAATCCCAGCATTTGGGAGACAGAGAAAGCAGGATCTGTGTGAATTTGAGGCCAGCCTGGTCTACAGAATGAGTTCCAGGACAGCCAGATCTATAAAGAGAAATCCTATCTTGAGAAAAAAAAAGTTGTCATGGTCATGGTGTCGCTTCATAGCAACAGAACACTGACCTGAAAATAAATAAATAAATAAAACTTTTAACAGTTGTATTATAAAGCATTTGGAATAAAGTCCAGCAGGTGAGTGTCTGCTAAGCATGAACAATGACTTGATTTTATCAGCACCATGATATAAAAGGGAAAAATGGAAAGTTACCTTTCACCTTTCTACTTGTCTGTTATAATCCATCTTACTCTGTCCCTAATAATTACTATCATACAATACATCCCACTTAATTGATCTTATAAGCCTGCTATGTACAGGAACCAAATGAATACATTTGTAAACTGAAAAAAATTAACTTGGAATTTGGTGCCCCAATTGGTAGAGTATATGCTTAATTAAACTGACCCCAGAAATGGGCACACAAACACAGCCACTATAGCTCAGCTTTAAAACAGAAAGCAAGTACTCTTTAAGTAAGACCATAAATGTTTTTCCTATTACAAAACCTCCAAAGTTTGGTGTTGGGCTGCCCTACAAGCCTAGCAACTTGAGTGTGAGCCCCAGCACCCATGAAAAGGTTAAAGGAGAGAACCAACTCCATAGAGTTATCCTCTGACTTCCGTACGCATATGGAGGCTTTCATGTCCCCACATGCACACATTACACATGCACACACACACCTTTTGAAAGTCTATATAAGCATACCACAAACTAAATAAAATGTAATTTTACATTTCTTATAACAAAGAAAAAGCATCAAAAAACTATATTTGTTCCTCTGTCAACCCAGCTCTTGTTTAACAGGGCAGTAGCACAGTATAATTATGTGTAAAGATGGAAGATAGAGACAGCAAGAAAGCAAAGCAAAATCTCTCAAGAGAAGAACACTCACAGACATCATCAGAGGGGTCTTCCGAACTCTTCCCACCACAGCACATGATGAAAGGCACCCTTCGTTCAACCACTGCCCGGCACTGCACACATTTTTTCATCAGGTTGGCACAGTCTGAAAATGAGTAGCACAGATGCTTCTTTAGCTACAACAGAAATAACACTGTCTTTTTCTGCTAATTTCTCTGTGAGCCGTATACTAAAGAAAACATTAAAGCAGTTATTTATATAAGATTCTAACTATAACAAGTTATAAACAAAAATCCTACCTCACTGTTATATTATTAACCTAAGACTGAAAAATGTCTGCTGGAAAAAAGAACCTATTATAAAAACATTTTCTAACATAACCAAATAGTGATTTTTTTAAGTAAATATTTTATTTGTTTGTTTTGTTGTTTCTTTTTTCAAGACGGGGTTTCTCTGTAGCTTTGGGGCTTGTCCTGAACTAGTTCTTATAGGGCAGGCAGGCTTCGAACTCACAGAGATCTTCCTGCCTCCATCTCCCGAGTGCTGGGATTAAAGGTGTGAGCCAGCACCACATCACCCAGCAATATTTCTAAACCTTAAGGTTTAGCCAGGAATGGTGGTATACAATAATCCTATTTCAAAAATCCAAAACAAAACCAATAAACAAGCAAAAAATATCTTAAGATTTAGAAAATGGAGAGAAATATATTCAATTAAAATTAGAACAATGACTGCCGTATCCAGGCTGTAAATATTTGAAGGGAGACAGCTACGGTGGACACTGCACACACTGTAAACATTGCACTCAGTCCCCTGAGAAAGGCTTTGCTATTTTTCCACTGGACTGAGGTTCTGGGTCCTTGATATGGTAGTTCTAGGACAGCCAGAGCTGTTACACAGAGAAATCCTGTCTCAAAAAACTAAAAATAAAATGAAAGATAAAAAGTCTCTGCAAGTAAAAAAGAAAGAAGGATAAAAAGAAAGAGAGAGAGCTTGGAAGAGAGATAAGAAACTATCTAGGCATAATGATAAACTAAACTTTATCAAAACATGGAACCATGGGCATGGACAGGCTGGGCTACATCCTCCTAATAGAAGTACACTGGGTGTGGAATCATTATTAAGCCTGATAGCAAGGCTTGAACATAAATGGTCTCACTCTTGATAATGCAACATGCAGTAGGTAGGGATTTGTCTTCAGTATGGGGCAGACTTTTTCTTAAAGGATTAATGTATCATATTCTAATCAAATAACATATCATCGCAATTACACAAACTTTCTGTAACTGTTTAGTTATATTTTTGTACAAAAATGTATCATCAGCCTCTTCAAAAAGGATATAAATCTTCCTTTGACTGGTAAAAGTACTTTATACTCCTCAAGACTCCAACGTTCTCCTTGGCATCCTGAGGTGTGGGCACTGAATTAATACTCTAGCATATCTAGAAGTAAAAACTGTCTCCAAACAAAAGTTTAGGGCCAGGGATGTGACTGAGGCAGAGAGCTTGCTAAAGAGCCAAGAGGCCATAGGTCTGATCCCTAGAACCATAAAAAACAAACAAACAAAAAAAAAAAACACAGAAAATTCTTATAACTATTACTGTGCTGAAAGTTAAGTAATGGTGCATTTAAGAAGAGATTAAAATGTCTAGTACAGAGTTAAAAGTTCAATAAAAGCTAGTACATTATAAAGCAAAAATGTTAACCTTTTTGGAAATCCTTGGGAGAAAAAAAAATATAAAGGCTCAAAAGACTGTGTAATCAATGCTAATGGCTATAATTATTTGCCAAGGCTCACATAGTCAGTAATCTGGACTGCAGTAGGTTAAGGGTCAACAAATCAATGCCCAAAAGTCTGTTCTTTTAAATGAGCTTTTGATTTGTTTTTGTTGGTTTTTTGAAAACTGGCTGTCCTGGAACTCACTCTGTAGACCAGACTGGCCTTGAACTTAGAGACCTGCCTGCCCCTGACTCCCTAGTGCTGGGATTAAAGGTGTGCACTACCACTGCCCAGCTTTTAAATGAGCTTTTATTGGATCATAGTTATATATTTTCCGTGATTGTTTCTGAACTATGATAACAGAATTGGGCAGTTGGAAAGAAATGAGTGGTTACTACAGAAGCCATGTGGTCTATAAAGCCAAAGACAGAAAAAGGTTGTCAACCTCTGGTCTACAAAAGTTTACTTAAGACTGAGAGAATGTCTTTCTGTGTTCTTTTGACAGCTGATGATAACAATTACACCAGGCCTTGGTAAATAGAAACATTTATTTTCAATTAGCAGTAGACTGCTAATTGAACAAACCTTTGACCCTCTATTTAGTTGTCTAGTTGCCTATCAGAATGAAACAAAAAATTAAAACAAAAACACCAGTATTCAAGAGTCCTATAAGATGGCAAAAGATAACGTTACCTGTAGGTCAAGCTTGACCATCTGAGTTTTGAGTTCCAAAACCCACAGGGTGAAAGGAGAGAACCGCCTCTCTCAAGAGTCCTCTGACTTCCACACATGCATCATGTTGGACACACACACAAACATATACACACAACCTACAGACATATACACAAATAAATAAATATAAAATGTAATTTAACCCAACATTTAAAAAGGGGGGGAGGCACAGGGAATGGCACTAAGTTTAGGAGGTGTGACTTTGTTGGAGTAGGTGTGGCCTTGTTAGAGGAAGTGTGAAGATGGGCTTTGTAGTCTCATACATGCTCAAGCCATGTCCATGTCCCAGTCTACTTCCTATTGCCTGCTGATCAAGATGTAGAGCTCTCAGCTCCAGCACCATGTCTGCCTGCATGCCACCATGTCCCACTATGATGATAATGGATTGAACCTCTGATAAACTGTAAGCCACCCTATTAAATGTTTTCCTTTATAAAAGCTGTGGTAACGGTGTCTCTTCACAACAATAAAAATCCTAAAATAGGCATCTAAACCAATGAGATTAACTACCATATAATCTGCATGATATTCTAGTCAGATAGCATAATAAAACAAAATATTTGTTGACTAACCTATTTTATAATATGAAGTACTATTTAAACAAGATATTAAACTTGAGATCTTTCACTGATAAGTAAACAGACACCCCCCATTAAAAAAAGCAAAGGAAAGAGAATTTCAAATCCTGTAAGATACAAGAAGAATATAAAAAGCCAAAGCCTTCAAGACAATGGGCCTAAGAGACTTAAAAGCAGTCTCAACCTGTGGGGTCAAGACTCCTTTGGGGCCCAAACAACCATTTCACAGTGGTTGCATATCAAATACTTACATTACAATTCATAACAGTAGCAAAATTACAGTTATAAGTAACAATGAAATAATTTAATGGTTAGGGTCACCACAACATGAGGAACTGTGTTAAAGGGTCTCAGTATTAGGAAGGTTGAGAACCACTGCTCTAAAGCATTAGACAAGCTTCACAGTTGTCTGTCCAAAGAACAGACTTCTTAAACTTCTCCTGACATAACAGACCACAGAACAAAATTATAGCCCCTAACAACAGAAGCTGTAAGAACCTGAGGAGTCAGGCAGGCACATAGGATAGGTAATGTTAAGGTGAAGACAAATGAAGATGTGCCAAAGTTATATGCAAAAAAATGATGGACTAGATGTTCTAGTAGGTTTATAAATAGGTTTCCACTATGTGTGAAAAAGAGATCCTTTTGTGGAAATATAACTGAAATGAAAAAAAAAATTCAGCCCTGATGGAGCACAGAATTTCAGTATTAAAATTACTCAGTATACTCTATTACTCTAAAGTATAGACCAAAATGGTACTAAATCCTTGTCCAGATTTTCTGTAGGGGGTTATCCAATAAACACACACACACACACAAATCAAAGACGTAATTTTTCACTTCACTCTTATTTTTATGGCACTGGGGAGGTTCCCAATAAGCTACTTACTCTCACAAGCACACATGTGTCCACAAGGTTGAAAGAGAACAGCTGCTTTCTTGTCAGAGCACACCACACATTCTTCAATCTACAGCAAAACAAAACCAGCAGAATGAACACTGCAGAGAAAGCATGTCCGCCTAGCAGCTGACCACCCCAGTGTACTTTCAATGTACTCTGCCCTCCTGCTGCTCATTCTCACATGCTTAACATGTACTCTTTCTGCAGCTCCCTCTCTCCTAACACAAAGAACTGCATACAAAAATTCCATTTCATCTGAGGCCAGGGATAATGAGCTAAATGTTAATTTTCCTTTTTTTCCCCAAAAACTTTAAGGAAATCTTAATAAACAAGTATTAAAACAAATGGTTATGAGAAGACTAAAACAACAAAACCTTACCCAGAGTAGTAAATTGCTAAAATTGCAAGAAGGGTGCCTATGTTACTTCCATCTAGGGAATTCTCCATAAAAGACCCCCTTTTGGGACCTGGTCAATTCCCATGCTGCTGGAAGCCCAAAGCATTTAGGTTATTCCTTACCCTTGCCCTATCACTAAGTCCTACTCATAATTTCCATTTGACCTCATCTACAACATACAATTTGTCATGTATTGCAACAACCTTGATTCTGACTCCCCCTCCCTTTCCCTCCAGCTCACCACTGCCCTTAGTTTCCCATTTGTTTTCCAGCATAGCCACATATAGCTTTCTTTTATTTAGTATTACTGTCCAGAAATGACCACTTCTCACCCATCACTAACCACTGTCTTCTTGCTTGCTTTAGTAAAGGTTTGCTCTCCGGCCCAAGCCTCAGGGATGTACATGGACTATGTACACTTTGCACACTAGTCTTCTGCAGTAAAATCTGGTTGGTCTCTGATATTCTTGAACTCAAAAGCTACCTCCAGTACTAATAAATTACTTAATATTTGTACAAGTTTAAAATAAAAGAGCAAATTATCTAACAATCTCCTACTTGAAAGACAAATCTTTCTAAGCAAAAAGTTTCCCCTTATGCTTACTTTCTTGGGTTCTACTCTCATGAATGGAACAACGGAATCAAAGCATTTTGCCCTGAGCAGAGGACAGCCTCCAAGCTTCTAGTAGTATTAACAAAGTCACCACGTTCAACATTGATTATTAGCACTTAAAAACTTTTATTTCCTAATTCAACAAAAAGTTTGTACTAATTTGAAATGTATTTATATTTCCCAAATTACTGAACAATCCAAATAATTCGTCTAAAAATATCCTTTCCTCTAAATACTGGTTTTAGAATTGTTCTTCAACGAAGCTGTTGATTCTTCTTTAACCACTTGGGGTCACTATTTTCCTATGGTCAAAGGCTCTGCTAATAACCCAGAAAATGTACTGAGTTCCTTAGACATCTCTTGTTTTGTTAAATGTTCTACAAATTTAAAAACGACATAGTATAAAATACAAAACAGAATTCAATGTATCCAAGTTTTAGAGGGTTTTGAAAGAAAAATAGCAACTATTTTTTTAAGTACTATACTTTAGATATAAAGAAGGAAATGTAAGCCAAAAAAAAAAACCTAGAGTTAAAACCCATGGATGTTTTGTGATAATAATGAACATGGCAGAGTATATCAGTAAGGTTAAACTAGAAGTCAACTCAGAAAACCTGAACTGGTTGCTTTAAATGTATAAATTACATATTATGGTATTTAGCTCATTTGTAAGAACAAAGTAAAATAACTACCACATAGTCTAACATATGTTATGGTAATCACAGAACTCAACAGCAGACAGAGCAACACATTACAGACTCGTTACCTTTGTCCTGGACTGGACCTGCTCTTTACAGATGAGGCATTTCTTGACACGTGGGGAACACAAAGAACAAGTCGCAATGTGTCCACAGGGACCAAAAAGAGTATCTCTCTTCATGTCTGAGCACACCATACATTCCTCTAAGGTTTCAGAATCATTGCTAATCATAGAAGGACTCCGAGAACCAACTTGGCCACTAATAAAACAAAGTATGTCAAATCAAGCCCATCCAAATACTCTAAAAAATTTATTTTTTTAACAAAACAAAGTGTCATTGTACACATAAAAATCAAATTATATTAAATATCAAATGTCAACAGCATTATATAAAACCTTTTTTCTATTTCCTTTTCTATTCATATTTGTTCATTTTCACATCTCTACTGTTCAAAATAATAAATCAAAAAGGTACTAAATGCTTGAGCTTTCTTAAACCTACTTATAAACCTCTCTGCACCTTCACATTCTTATAGTACCAGTCAATCTTCAAATTAAATGAAGACTCAATAATGAACAAGGTTGAATTTCTAATAAACAGCTCAAAATACCAGCAAAAACTAATTTAATGAGCCAGGCGTAGTGGCGCACGCCTTTAATCTCAGCACTCAGGAGGCAGAGGCAGGCAGATCTCTATGTTCCAGGCCAGGCTGGTCTACATAGTAAGTTCAAAGACAGTCAGAGCAACATACTAAGCTTTTGTCTCAAAATACACAAACAAAAAGCTAATATAAGTAAAATTTAATTTAGAACGTGTTCTATCCCAGGAATAAAACAGAACCTTTGATTAGCATCGTATCGTGGTATCAACTAGGACAGCACCACCAGAGTTCACAGAGGATGAAACACAGAGTGCTTCTATCCTGACTGCTATCCTGACATTCCACTGAGTGTGTTGTTCAGAAGGATAAAATTAAACTACAGAAAGATAGACTACATAGTGTAAATATGCAGAAACATGCAGGAAAATACATGTATGCATAACTAATACAGCTATGGAAAGTAAACATGGGTTCCAAAAACTTAGGAATGCACATAAAGGTTCCAACTGTTCAAAATCATTACTGCAATAATTAATGTATTTCTAAGTACATTTATACTCTGGTAATAAAATTTTAAGTTCATTAAAGATATACTTTAAAATATATATGCATGGGCTCCCAGTTCAATCACACACACACACACACACACACACACACACACACACAAATATATATATTTTAAAGAGCTGGAAAGATGTCCCAATAATTAAGAGAATATACTATTCTTTCAGAGAATCCAAGTTCAGTTTCCAGCATCCACATTGGATGGTTTATAATCTCCCATAACTCCAGCTGCAGGCGGATCTGAAACCTCCTGCCTCCACAGACAGACACATAATTGAAAGGAATCTTTAAAACATATTTTTCAATATCCTCTCTCTCTATGAGTATGTAATAGGCAGGTGGTGTGCCACCAACACCTTGCCAACCACTACTTGGCTATTACATGTACAATTTAACAGAGGTGAGAAAACACCAAAGAAGAGAGAGAGCTACCAATATAGTCAGTAATAAGAGGTATAAAAGTCAAAAATATTTTCATACCATTGTTTGTATTAAAAAAGAGATGTTGGCTGGGTGGTGGTGGTGCACACCTTTAATCCCAGCACAGGGAAGGCAGAGGTAGGCAGATCTGTGTGAGTTCAACGCCAGCCTGGTCTACAGAATGAGTTCCAAGACAGCCAGGGCGGTTACACAGGAAAACCTTGTCTCAAAAAAGAAACAAACAAACAACAAAAATAAACAAAAACAGAGATGCGCAATTTTTTGTATGACTATCTCAGTAAAGAAAATATTTACACCAGACATTTTAATTAAAACTCCTGACATACTTAACTGTCAGAAAAATAGGAATATGTAAAATGATCATCTTTAGGAAAAATGCCACAACCCACAGGCTGGCTGACTCACTTGTTCATCCTTTTAACCCTTTATTGCTGATAACTGTTTCCAAGATCTTGTTGCAAGGTGCTAGAGTTATTACAAACTTTCAATGAGAGTAAACTGCCTACAGTATTATCATAGTTCCTAGTAAGGTTTTTCCTTACAAATTCCCAGAGCACATGGGGATCCTAGGAGATTAACCTGGTTTAGAAAAGCTTTTTAAGTTTATCATGCACAAAGTGATATACATAACGTGGGGGACGCAACATGGAACGAGACATGGGACACAAAGGAAAAGCTTTCAAGTGCAGCCCAAAGACCTAAGAACTGCAAAGATCTGGACACCTCCAAGTCCCAGGACCTCCCTTATGAGTTACATGGCACCTTATGACTAGAACATTAGGTTACATGATGATAAAAGCCACAAACCTGACTTTTTCCTTATGACATTTTGCCAGCGCTTTGCAGAGACTTGGGTCAGGACAGAGATCCAGTGGAGATTGACCCTTCTTATTTCGAATGCTGAGGTCGGCACCATTGGCTGCCAAGAAACAGGCAATAGATGCTGCACTCTTCTTTTCTGCTCCCTGGGTACCAAGTCCCATTATTAACTGAAATCAAATAAAGAGTCATGATTTTCCCTTAGGGAAATCTGCCATCAATTTTCACTAACAATATGTGTGTGTTTCAGTCCTAATGTGAACTCATCTCTCCCCACCCCCATGTTCCTTGATTTTCCACATCTGAGAACTGGCTCTGCAGTGTACAAGTGAACTGAAAGTGGTTAAACCCAGTTGGATACCTAACTCCTACATGACTGATTCAGAGACAGACACAGATCCAAAGTTAGGTCAATTAAGGCTGAGAAACTCAAGTGCAGGTTCTGGTTGAGAAGCAACTACTTTTGTTCCTACTCAGTGTTACTCTGGAGCTGCTACAACTAGCTCTCAACGTTTCTGAATCAAAGCAAAACTTAACAAGATGAATCAGCATCTGATTGTGTTATCTGAAATTGTTAAAATCACTATCAAGATTCACTAAGTATCCATAATGAGCCATGCACTGTTCAAAGTACTTTTATGATCAAATATCCACTCTGGACCTCCTTAACTGAGGAAGACAGAGGATGCAGACGTACCAGCCGTTATACACAGAACTGCTGTACCTGCACTTAAGACTTTCTCATACTTAGAGGATACAGTGTTTCTCCAGTGCCTAGAAACATACGGTATGTAATTATACAGGGAAACTTTTGTTTTGTTCCAGCTAGGGTCTCACTCTAGCCTAGACGGACAGGGAATTCACTATATAGCACATGCTGGTCACAAATCCTGCCTTAGCCTCCTAAGTGGGGTATTACAATCATGGTCTAGTTCTTGACTATGCTATCATTTCTATACAAAAACAATGAGTACTAAATTATGTTCATTCTTATACAAAAGCACTGTATTATCAATTATTATCTTCCACTGTCACCACCACACCCACAGACAAAGAGGAGGCAGCAGTAGGGGCAGTGGCAACACAAATCACAGATCGGAAGAAAATATGTATGTATCACATACTTTGATATGACCTCCTTTTCATATTATAGAAATAATTCTTGAAATAATTAGAAGAAAACAAAAGACCTAGGAAGTGGGAGAGCGCTTCCCTAGCATGCATGAGGCCTTGGTATCAATCCCTAATACCTCAAAAAATAAAAACCAAAAGAAAACAAAGAATTCAAAAATTATCATGAGAAAGATTTGAGTAGATAGCTCATCAAATACATGCGATGTTGATCAAATGAAATGCTGGTCAAAATGAACAAGCATTAGGGATTTCAAATTCCAATGATAACAAATACCCACTCTACCCTATTTGTAAAGCTGAAGTTAGAAAGAACCAAACTTGGGGCTGGAGAGATGGCTCAGCGGTTAAGAGCATTGCCTGCTCTTCCAAAGGTCCTGAGTTCAATTCCTAGCAACCACATGGTGGCTCACAACCATCTGTAATGAGGTCTGGTGCCCTCTTCTGGCCTTCAGGCATACACACAGACAGAATATTATATACATAATAAATAAATAAATAAATAAATAAATGAATATTTAAAAAAAGAACCAAACTTTTGATAAGATGTAGAACAAATGCACTTCGTAGTGATCAGTAGTGTTGAAGTTTTGTAAACCCAAGTACAACTCTGATAAAATGTTTTATCCAACACAGATCAGATAAGGAGTAAGTGCTTTCAAAGGTAGCGAGGGAACATTATCTTACTCACTGTGTTTTTTGATGGCTCCCAGGCAGCATCTACTTTCCCCACATCTTGCATGTCTTGTAGCTGGCGTAGCTGAGACAAAGTATGATGCCTTAAAGCCTCATGCAAAGGGGTATCTCCATCCTTATCCTGAATGTCTAGCTTAGCACCTGCACGGACCAAAAGCTGAGAGAGGGAAAAATGCCTCATTTGGACAGTGTCTACACCTATAAGAAACTACAGTAAATCTACAGTAGCAGCATGAAATTTCAAGAAACAATAAATGTAAGCATTGTTTGCTAAAATCCAACTACTTAGCAAAATGAGTTACTGCCTATCTCATTATGTGACTTGTGCAGTAAACTTTCAGTTCATTTTAGATTTTCCTTATGGTGTTGACAAATACCATCAAAGAGCTCTGAACAATAGCATCCACAGAAACTAACCTTACTCTACAATCTTACTTGTCTTGGAAAATCATACTTTGTCTCTTTTTTGTTCTAAAAAGTTATGTAAAATATCATTCTAGAACATATTTTTCAAACTTGGTAAGTATCAGGACGACCTGGAAGGCTTGCAAAACCAGGAATTTACCCACCCTTGTTGGTTAGTTTTCTGTCAACTGGACTGAATTTGGAATGACCCAGAAGCACATTCGAGAAAGTTTCTAGAGAGATTTAACTGAGAAGGACAGACCCACACTGAATGTGGGTGATACCTTGCAATGGTCTGGAGTTCCACACTAAATAGAAAGAGGAGAAGGAGACACTGAACTGAGCATCGGTACTCAACCCTTCTTCCTGACTGGGACACACCGTGACCAGCTGCTGCCTCATTCCTATTCCTGCCATGACAGCCTGCACCACTTCAGACTGTGAGCCAAAAAAAACCTTCCTTAAGTTGCTTTTGCCAGTATCTTGTCAAAGCAAAGAGAAAAGCAACTAATAAAGGACCCCTCCCAGTTTCCAGTTCCGCTGGTCCGGGGCAGAGTACAAGAATAAACTTTCCTACACATTTTCAGGTGACACTGTGGTAGCTACTTCAGTCTCCAAACTTTTAAGAGTCACTGTTCCATAAGACTATGTAAACAAATACTTTTTTGGGTTATTTTGTTTGAAATCACCGGACTAGTAAACTAAAAATATACAGCTCAATTTTCCATTTGCAGCAGCAAGTTCCCAGACAAACAAAGCTTTTAATTTTACTGTCAACTACACACATTAAGAAGGATGTCAATTATTCAAATTGTTACTTTAAATTTTTCTCGCTAACGTTATGAGAATTCAGAAGTCTAAGAACAATATGATGAAGACTCTTTAACTAGACACTAACCCCTTACCCTAAAGTCTTAAGTTCTTGAACTATGTCACTTTAAGAAGTGGAACACTGTATCATTTCAGTTTTCACAAGGCTCTAAACATGAGTACGGTTAAAAGGCTCTTATAAGCTAAAATTAACAAGAAAAAATACTTTACCCTAACAATCTGGGTGTGCTGCCGTTCAACAGCAAGGTGTAGGGCTGTTTGCTGGTTCACATTCTGGATATCCAGGTTTGCATTTCCCTAACAATGAACACATTTAAAATGGTTACTTCTGGGCAACATTAAAGAACACGAAAACTGTTAGCTATTTCCAAGGAATAGACAGCACTGCTGACTATTGTTTCCTCCTTGGAAGCTGTCCTGAGACTGTTTTCATATGGACACTGAGAACTAGACAGCAAACTACAAGTGGAAGAGTTGGTGTAAAATAAGGATTTCCTTTACAGTAATCATCTCAAGCCAGCTCACGGACAAAGCACACTGTGGAGCTGAGCACGATTCTCTTTCAATATCCACGGAGAGAGCAATTCCAACAAACTGTACGTACCTCTGAAAAGCAATGGTGTCTCCATATAGAATTCAGAGTTATTTTAATGACTTGATAAGTTCACTTCCTCATTCCATGAGAAGGTGATCTGAGCAGTTGCAACAAGTTTGCAAAGGGAAAGCAGGAAGTCCTCAGGCTCAGAAAAGAGCCCACCAGCTAACTGGCTCTGAAAACCACTGATACCCACACAAGGGAAAGGGTCTAAGGACAAATTAACTGATTTTGAATCCAAGGCACTTTTGGCTTAAGCTCTGCTACTTTTAAACCACTTCTGTAAGCATTTCACCATTTAGCCCTTTTCTTCGGTTCCTTGATGGTGTGACAGTATAACCTACGTCACAGGGTTTATGTTAAGATTAAGAAATACAGCACAAAAATTTGTTTAGCACAATGCCTGGCACAACAAATCAAAATTAAGAACAGAATCCAAGTTTCAAAAGATATACCTGAACTACTAGGCTTCCAATAAATAAATCATTTATTTTTATGTAAAGGTGTCGAGAGTCCCTGAAACTGGAGAAACAGTTGTGAGCTGACATGTGAGTGCTGGGAATTGAATTCAGGTCCTCTAGAAGAGAAGCCAGTGCTCTAAGTGCTGAGTCATCTCCAGCCCCTAAACTGTTAGGTCTTAAAACCAGTCTAATCACAACTCTGAAACTCTAGTATATTATGCCATATTCTGGTTTGTTTTTATTATATTTTTATATTATATTATATAATATATTATATTTTATATTATATTTTTATTATATGTATTTGTGTCTGACTGGTCGTGAGGTATCACTCTTAGCTCATCCTGTTATGCCTATTTAAATGTGAATACTGGGGAGAGTATAAGCCAGTGTTGGAGAGAGGCTGGTAAGATGTAGCCAAGTCTGTTGCCCTGAGTTTGATCTCCAAGACCTCCATAATGGAAGGACAGAATCATTTCCTGAGGACTATCTTTTGACCTCTACACATGTACTACACCGCAAGGGGTTGGGGGTAGAGAGCCAGTGTCAGGCAGAGATGCATACCTGCAATTCCAGCACTCAGAGGCTGAGGCAGGATACTGAGTTTTAGCTAAGCCAGGGCTACACAGCAAGACTGTTATATGCAAACAAACAAAAATAATCACCGTTAAAAAGCAGAGAATATATTGCTTCAGTTTTCATCATCATGTGGGTTTTATTGTAGCCTATTAAAGGCCACTTGGTGAAATGAACTAAAGAATTAGAATGTTCTAAGTCTGTTAAACCATAGCTACCTCTCTTACCTGATGTACCAACAGTTCAGCCACTTCCACATGATTATTCAGAGCAGCCAGGTGCAAGGCAGTATAACCATCATCTTTCTTCTCATCCACAATCCATGGTCTTGGTAATTTTGAGAGTAAAACACGCATTGCACTGCAAGGCAAATTCACATTATCTTTACATTTACATAATATAAATTTTGTTTTCTTCAGAAAAATATTCAAAAGAAATCATGTTATCAAATGAGGCTTTTTTTTTCTTAAAAAAAAAAATCATGTCCCTACAGACAGACAGAAACTGCTGTTATCATTCCCAATGTTTATTTAGCTTTTTGATATTTGAAAGCCAAACAAAGAATCCTTATTTGCCAAATAGAACACAGAACATAAATGCTACAGAGGCAACTTTACCTCACAAAAATATATGGAAAACTCATGAAGGTGTCACCCTCTTAAGTGGACCTGGGGCCTCATGGGGCTCAGAACGCAAAGGTCTCTGATGTCAGTTTATGAATCACATGGAGCAAGTTCAAAGAGTCTAAGAATAGACTTTGAAGGAGCAGGTGAGATGGTTCCTGATGCAGAAGAGCTCGTGCTGAACTTAATTGCCTGAGTTCATTCCTGAGACTCATATGGAGGATGGAGAGAACCTACTCCTATAAGCTATGCTCTGATCTCCACATGTGCATTGTAGAATATCCATGCACATGTCTGAACGTGTGCGTGCATGTGCACATGTACATACACAAAAATAGATAAAAATAACTGCTTTTATAAATTAAGCTTCAGAGGATCTAAGAACCTCTAAATTAGAACTAATGCTGCCAAATTTTTAAGTTTTATCAGATTTTTGTTTTAAGTTCTACTACTTTTGTAGCCAAGGCAGGTCTTGAATTTTAATCTCCCTGACTCAGTCTCCCAAGTGCTGAGATTACAAACATGAACCCCATGCCCAGCTCCACTCAGATCAATGGAAAGTTATTGGTAACACACTACATTACAAAACATTCAGATACCATGATATTGTGCACTGTCTACAATTCTGCCTATAAGACCACATGAGAAAAAAAAAACTTTAAAGAAACTTATAGTTTTTCTACAAAATTTAGAAGATATAGTAACCATGAAAAATTGTATTAAAAATAAAATGTTATGGGGATGTAGAAATGGCTCAGAAGTGAAGAGCACTTGTTGCTCTTGCAGAGGACCCTGGTTTAGTCCCAGCACTATATGGTGCTTCAGAGCTGTCAGTCACTCCAATTTACTAGGCTTCTTCTGACCTACTCAGGCACCAAGTACAAATGTGGCACATAAATATTCATACATACACTAATATGCACGAATAAATCTAAAACAATTTTTAAGAAGAAATAAAATGTTATTATTTGAAAGCAATGTAAGGAAGGGGCTGGAGAGAGAGCTCAGTTGTTAAAGCTCTCGCAGAAGACCCAGCACCCATATGGCAGCTAACAAAATTCTCTCCACATCCAGAGAATCTGATGCCCTCTATTGGCCTCCTCAGGCACTGCATGCACAAGGTTCATAGACATACACCAAACAAACACCCATCTACATAAAATAATAAATGTATCCCCCAAAAGGCAGTATAAACCAGCCATGATGCAACGGGGCCAAGGTTCAAGATCACTGTCAGTTACATAGTTCAGACAATATAAGACATCATCTCAAACAAACAAACCAGTTGATAAAGAAGTGATTCAATATTAGAGTACTCTCCATACAACACCTAAGTCTGGGGTAGAGACACATACCTATACTACTAGCACTCAGGAAGGAGAGGCAGGATAAGCAGAAGTTCAAGTGCACTCTGACCTACACAGCAAGTTCAAAGCCAGCCTGAGCAAAGCTAAATTTCAGTGTTAACCTTACTTATTAAACCAAAGCTATGCTACACTGATAAGAAAGATAGTAATGGCCACCAGGCGGTGGTGGCGTGTGCCTTTAAACCCAGCACTCGGAAGGCAGAGGCAGGCGGATCTCTGTGAGTTCGAGGCCAGCATGGTCTACAGAGCTAGTTCCAGGACAAGCTCCAAAGCTACAGAGAAACGTTGTCTCGAAAAAAACCAAAAAAATAAAAATAAAAAAAAAATTAAAAAAAGAATGTTAGTAATGGAGAGTGTTTAAGTTTTAAATATTTACTTTCCCTAACCAGAAATATTCTGATAATGATTTTGCCTGATAAACTAAAAACTCCCAAGGCAAGTTACAAGACATGGGGAGAGTAACTAAGGCAAAAGAAGAATGCCATGGAAGACAGTCATCTTCATGCAGTATAATCTGTGTAATACCATTAGCCTGTGTATATAGTT